GAGGTGACGAGCATAGGAATAGCGAGAGAGCGAGAATCCGAGTAAGCTGTCACTCCGAGAAGTGTCGTTGAGAGTGGCGCAACTCTCTCCACTTCAATTCTGAGGCTTTGGCTCCCCCCCGTGGGACATCTGTCGACACGGCTGAGGCACCCCTCCCCTCAGGGGAGGACCCCCGGCGTGACACAGAGAAACTGAATAGTATTGTCCTATAAGGAAATGGAAAGACTTCCAATAGTTGGTAAGATTTAATGAGACTCTGTGCAACAGTGATAATAACATAATGTATTTAATATGACTCTTTTGTATTATTGGGATCAATGTTTTGAAATATTGTTAATAAGTAATATTGTTAAAATAGTATTATTGTATTTTTATACTTCTATACTTCTATAGTTCTTTGTTCCTATACTTCTATAGTTCTTTGTTCCTGAGGAAGGACCAGAAGTCTGAAACACTGAAAACTACCTAGGAAAAGTGCTGGATATCTATTCTGGACTCTGTATTTTCCTTTTATGGATTTCTGTTGGCTTCTGTATTTTCCTATGATGGATTATATGAATAGATTCATTCCTGACTATATGTGCATTTCACTTTGTTGAAGTCTCCTTTTGGATATATATTTTTGCGGGTAATTCAGCTCACATTTGTTTTCTGTTGTTCTTTGCGATTTCTTACTGTGTGCTGTACTGTTGGTTGTTGATTGTCTGTAGTACAGCATACAAAGATGTTAACTACACTATTATATAATGAAATAGTAAAAGAGAACAGGAACAACTGTAGTTAACAGACTCACTAATAACAAATTGCCCAAAGGCTAAAGAACATGTAGTAGATAGTAATGTATATAAAGTGGTAACAATAGAAAAGTACAGAATGCAAACCATAGGCAACTTGTGCATCAATACACTGCAATAGAAAAGTGTTCTTTAGCGTTTTGGCAATTTGTTATTAGTAAGTCTGTTAACTGCACTTGTTCCTGTTCTCTTTTACTATTTCATCATTGTCCGTAGTACAGCCAGGAGATCCAAAGATTGTCTGGAAGCCTTAAGTTCTAGCTCTTTTGTGGCGAGCTAGACTTATTTTTTGGACTGAGAGAGCTCTGAAAGAGCTGTGACTGACCCAAGGTCAACCAGCTGGCATCATGGGAAAGGGTGGGGAATCGAACCCGGCTCTTAACCACTACACCAAACTGGCTTATGTGAGGACTTTTCTGTTTTGTTTGGCACTCCCTCAGTGATCCCTCCTTCCTGCTCAATGTTTTAATTCTTGCTTTTATGTCTTTGTATGTATTTTAGAGCTGGTTGTAATTGTTTTAATAGTGTGTTGGTTTTATTAATTTTACAATGTGAGTTTATTCTGTACATTTTGATTTGTTAGCCACTTTGGGACCCCTTATGAGGGCAGAAAGGCAGGATATAGATGTTGTAAAAACCAATCAGTCAATCTGAGAACAGTCTTGTAGCATCTTTTACTGGTGCAAAGTGGAGAAACAGACGCTGGAGAAAAGGTGGGGGGGAAACTGCCTCCAGGGCACGGAGTCCGAGGAGTCCATTCACAAAACCGGTGTGCTTGCGATGGCCACTTCTCTTTCAACCTGTGTGGAAGAAAAGGCCAAGAGCAAGTTACAAGAGCAGCTGAAGAAGCTGACCGTTTCAGTTCCCCACACCAAGGGGTGGCAAAAACCAGTGGAGGGCACTCTCAGAAAACAACTCCCTCACAAGCAGGGAGTGCTCATGGGATTTCCTGTAATTCTGGAGCAGCCCTGTAGCTAGGGACTTTTTTGGGGAGTGGGCCATGGGGGGGGGAGCTAATTTAATCAAAAGTTCCAGGTAACCCTCTGGTGGTGGGGGGGAGGCAGGCGTTTTTTAAAGCCAGCGCACACAGGCTGGAGTACAGAGACCGGTCCTGTGGTTAAGAGAGGGTGGATGGTGAGGAAGAGAAGCTGGCAGGAGCTGGCGGCAATTTGGCTGAGTTTCAAAGGGAGGGGAGGGTGGGGAGGCAGCTCTGGGGATGAAGGATTCCACTTCTCTGGAGTGCCCAAGGAGCTCAGTTGTCGGGCAGCCAGGTTGTAGGCAGCGTGGTGTGCAGGTGGCAAGTTGAGGTACCTTGGGGACAGCCCGGGAGGGAGGTGGCCCAGAGGAAACACGATGGGGCCGGGCCCCGTGGGCCCCACGTTAGCTACGGGCCTGTTCCGGAGGTGGTGTGAAAAGCTACACAAAAAACACAATGCATGTTAAGCTCTACTCTCTTCTAAGGAAATAGGCTTCACAATTACACCCAGGTATTTTGATGTGCTTACGTCCATGACTTATTCAACAGCCAGAAGACTTCTGTCTGTGCTAGAGCAGCTCAAATGTCCTTCAACACAGCAAGGAGTCTGCATCCCTTGGAAAAGGGCCACCCTCTTAAATGCTTTGGGAATGAAATCGAACCAAGTTTCAGTCCAGTGGCACCTTTAAGACCAACGAAGTTTTATTCTGGGCATAGCTTTCATGTGCACGCGCACTTCAGATATACTTTGTGCATCGTAGTGGTTGTGGAATGGCCTTGTGTTCCAACTGCGTGATGCTCTGTGTGTGTCTCGCATCACAATGTTTTGATTCTTGGGTTTGTCTCTAGTTATGGTTGTCCATTTTTATCAGTAAGAAGCTGTCTGTAAGCAAAGACAGTCCTGCCATCCAAAGTCCTTTCAAACAGGGAAGTATTTGTATCCTGGGTCACCTCTAGTCCCTTGATAACAACCGTGTGAGGTAGGGTAGGCTGAGATAATGCAATGGACCCAAGTTCACTGTTGTGTACTGAGCCTAATCTCGTCAGCCCCAGCTTGAGGACACAGAACAATGGACTGCTAGGATCCTGGGATGGACCTGTCACCCAGGAGTGCCTCTGTAAATAGCCTATTGTTGGGAGTGGGTGTGTGATGGGTGTGCCATTTTATGGGCGTATAAGCAGGGCTCTGGCCCTGCTAGAGTTGTCTTTAGTTTGAGCTGAAACCACTAATAAAGTATGAGCTAATCACTCAACCCATCTGAACCCAGCATATTTCAATCACCCAGCAAGCTTCCATGGCAGAGCAGGGATTGGGACCTGACTGCCCCAGATCCTACCCTTGACCGCTGCACCACACTGGCCATAGCCCATGGAAGCTCATGATGGAGTAAGATGGCAGTCGCTTTTATGGTGCCACACGGCTCCGTTTTTTTTCTTGCTCAATTGCCAACCAGAGATTGAAAGCAGATTGTTTTGGTTTGTAATCAACGTCCAGTAACGCAGAGCTTCCAGGAAAGAGACGTTTTGGATTGATCTGCTGGTGACCATTACGTGAATGTAGCCAATGTAATGTACGTTTCATACAGCTATGATCCAAGCATCCTCCTGCTCCGGATTAAGGGTCGGTCCAGCAGGGTGGCGAGAGCAGTTTCTTAATGGTTCCATCTCTTCGCTGGACAATGGGCAAGGTTACCTTTACCAATTAATGCAGATTGGTGCAGTGGTTAAGAGCGCAGACTCTAATCTGGGAGAACCGGGTTTGATTCCCCACTTCTCCACATGCAGCTGCTGGTGTGACCTTGGGTCAGTTACATGTTCCTTCAGAGCTGTTCACTCAGGAGCAGTTCTCGAGAGAGAGCTCTCTCAGCCCCACCTACCTCACAGGGTGTCTGTTGTGGGGAGGGGAAGGGAAAGGAGATTGTAAGCCGCTCTGAGACTCCTTCGGGTAGTGAAGGGCAAGGTATAAGTCCAATCTCTTCTTCTTCGCTTAATTGCATAGAAGAGCAGAGATGGGCTTCCCTTCAGGATGGCCACTGTGATGTGGTGATTAATATGTCAAAGATCTTGGAGATCCACATTCAGATCTCCTCACTGCTGTGAAGCTCTCAGGGTAACCTTGGCTGGTTGCTCTCGCAGCCTAACCTGCCCTCCCAGAGCTGTTGCGAGGGTTAAATGAGGAAAGGGAACCATGCATGCCACCTGGAACTCTATGGAGGAGGAAGATGATGATCAAAATGTGATGGACAGGCTGAGCTAGTATTCTAGCAGCTGAGTTACTTCTTAAGTCACCAGAGGCATGGAGATTTGGCTGGGCTCCAAAAGCCGTCACTGAAAGGGCTTGCAATAGTCCAGTGTTGTTATCTGTATTTTTTTTCTTGGAATAGCTGACACACACACACACACACCCATGCCATATGAAACTAATTTTGAAAGGATGTTTGCCACGGCTCTTGAGAGGCTACCCGTCAAGAAACACAGTGGCTCTTGGACACCTTCACCTTGTTTTGGATTCTAGGTACTGCCTGTTATAGTCTCAAAGTCTTGGCTGCTTGGACCAGTGGCTCCTCTCTAAAGGAGCACCAGTCCTTCATGGGTATCTCCCCACAAGTATCCAACTGGAGCTACATAGAATTGGAACCGTCAATCACATTCCAGAAAGCCCGGCCAAAGGGATTTCAGCCCCTGCCTGGGACAGATGTTGGAAATGGACTGACCTGATTGGTTGAGAGAGAAAGAGAGGACCAACAGAAAAGCCCTCCCTACCATTTTATTCCTAGCCTGAAGAATTCTTTTTTTAAAAATGATTTTATTTCTGTTTTATATAATATACATACAGTTTTATATATATACATGTATATAACACAAAAGTGAACAACAGTTTAACTGGTATTTAAATGAGTTGGTGATATGGCTTACTTCAGTCAGCTAGATAGCAAAAAAAGAAGAAGAAGACATTCTAGACGGCAAAAAAGAGACATTGTTAAAAAATTAAAGTTTTTAAAAAAGGAAAGAAATCTTAGATATACTGAAGAAGAATTATTGAGGATCCCTTACCTTTATGAAACGTCCGTCTCCAGAACATCCACTGTCTTAATAGGTAGTCCCTTAACAAACACTCCCATTTCGTCCTCCTCCTCCTCTTCCTCTTGCCGACGCCTCTTTCGACAGTAACTTGAAAAGCAAGTGGCAAAATTAGTCCATGATGCAGAAGGTATTTCGATCATACAATCAGCACAACCAGTTGAGCAATGCGTATAACATTCTCGTGACTCATATTTTCAGGCACATTACTGGTCAGGAGACCTGTGTTATCTCCAACCAGGGCTATTTTTGGGCAGGAACGCACAGGAACGGAGTTCCGGCTGTCTCCCAAGTTGACCACACCCAGCAGGAACTCATTAGCATAACAGGCCACACCCAACAGCAGAAACTCATTAGGATTGGCTACATTAGGGGTGTGTGGCCTAACATGCAAAGGAGTACCTGCTACAAAAAAGCCCTGGGTTTTGACAACAAACAAGGTAAACAGAATAACAAGCAAAAGGTGGGTGTGGCTGGATGACCACACTTCTGGTAACATGGGGGTGCAGCCTAAAATGCTAATGAGCGGTGCAGTCAGGGGTGTGGCCTAATATGCTAATGAGTTTCTGCTGCTGGGTGTGGCCTATTATGCTAATGAGTTCCTGCTGGACGTTTTCTACAAAAAAAGCCGTCTCCAACTGAAATCAATAAAAATACCTACTGGGCTTTTTTGGTGTTTGTGAAATAAACAAGCCTTTAAGCTCAAATCTGCCCCAGTACTCAAGCACCAATGAAGAAACGATATATCTTCATGTGGCACAAATTCAGTAAAGAAACTCAGTCTTGTGGCTTTATTTGTAATTTAGCCACATGACTGCATGTTGATTTCTGTGTCTTGCCACCGACAGATCTATTTGGAAACAACAGCTCTGGGATGAGCAACGTATTGCAGGGCATTCTGAGCACAAACGAGTTACGCACTTGCAACACACAAGAGAAAGCTTCAATTTAGTGAGTTTGTAAACTCTCCCCTCCCCTTCCCCTACTCAGAGATAACAACCAATCGTGTAATTCTTGATTTTGCATACTGCCTTCTTAACACAAAATCACTCATATTGATCTAAAACAGAACACAAGCTTCTAAAGAATAGCTCTGTTCAGTACACTCAAAGATTTTCGGCACGGCAAGAAACACCTATTGCTGGCAATAATTTGAGGCCCTGTACAGGAACCGCTGGGCCACGAGGACTCAGATGGGCTTCTGACTTAGCCAAGATAGACTGCGTCATGGCCATCTTCTGGAGAAAGATGGGGTGAGAGACAGAGGGAAGTTCTGCATTGGCTTTTCCCTCTGTTGTTATAAGAACATAAAAGAAGCCAATTTTGGATCAGGCCAATCCAGTCCAACTCTCTGTTACACAGTGGCCAAAAATACCAGGTGCCACCAGGAGGTCCACTAGTGGGGCCAGGACATTAGAAGCCCTCCCACGGTTGCCCCCCCCATAAGCACCAAGAATACAGAGCATCACTTGCCCCAGACTGAGAGTTCATATCTATACCTTGTGGCTAATAGCCACTGATGGACCTCTGCTCCGTATGTTTATCCAATTCTCTCTTGAAGCCGTCCATGCTTGCAGCTGCCACCACCTCCTGTGGCAGTGAATTCCAAACCCACATTGGAATAGAAATTCCCCTCTGCTTGGCATGCCGCTGTCACTTTCTTTGATCATCGGATTTTATGGTACCTTCTGCATAGATTTATGGCTGTTCAGGGGTGACTTTGCAGTCAGTATGGTGTTGCCCCGGGGTATTTGAATGTGGCTTTGAGCTGCACCTTTTCTGTTCCAACGTGGGCTTGGTAAAACAATGGAAAGAAAAGCCAATGCAGAATCAGCCAGAGAGAGAGGGAGGAGGGAGGGTTGGGCTTTGGGGCTGGTTTACTGTTTGGTTTTATTATCATGTGGAAAACTATTGTTTTTAATTTGAGTTGTTACCTGGCTTTGGTCCCACTTTGGTGCTAAGACAGAGGTGGACTGTAGAAGGGGAAAGCTGATAGAGACAAAGCACGAGAAGAAGGAATGACAGTGAAAAGTACGAATCCCACCTTCGTCGCCACTGAAAAGTACTGGGTTCGCCGCATGGAGGACTCGGACGACGACATACTGTAGCACACGTTTATTGTACTTAACACAGACAAAGACTGACTCTAACGGCCAACAGGGCCAACTATATACATATCCACCCAACACCCCCCCCACTCCCATTGGAGGGTTTGAATGTCCCGCCAAGGTGGCTATTGGTTGGGGCTGGGGGATCCAGGATCCGAAGTTTCCATTGTTCTAGGATCCAAGCTCTGGCCTGTCCGCGGACCCCTGGTGGCGGTCCACGTACATAACAGACAGAGAGACAAATCTAGACAGAATACTTTAGACTAATATTAAAGGTAAACACAATGCAAAATATTACAAGTGGTTAGGATAAAGGTGGGTCTTGATTCTGGATAGTCAGTCATAGAAAACGCACCAACAGTCATAACCAGCTTGTCTGTTTTTTTAAAAAATGTAACATTTGGAGCACGAGGAGCAGTTTACCAATAAGCTTCCTGATCCTGCAAGAAGTCAAAACATCTCTAAGAACTGTCTGTGCTTTCTCCGGGGCATACTTACTGAGCACAAGCGCACAGGCCCGCCACCAGGATGATGAGCACCACCAACACCGCTATCAAAGCAGCAACCACAATTTGGCCTTGGTCGCCCCTCAGATAGAACAGATCCAACCTCTCACATCTTGCACCAGTGAAACCTCTCTCACAGCTGTAGAAGGAGGACAGTGGAAGTTAACAGCCTGTTGGGGATAAATTTCCCAGGATGCTTCTCTATAAGCCTACTATTAATAAAGGCCCTTTCCGCATTTGGACATCACCCCGGGTTTTCTCTGTGTTCGACTTGTGGCCATTTATCCTGCTGTTATCTCTGTTTGTCTGTTATTTCCTGCACTAGTTTTGTCCCACTCCAATTTGCTTGCCTGCCCTGGGTTAATGCCTTAGGTATGGCGGGAAAGCGGCAGGGAGGATCGAAGCGGAGTTAAAAATTCTACACCTAAATCTGCACTGGGCCACTCTGAATTGAGGGAAGGCCCATGGTAAAACAGGATTCATATACCTTGGGGCAATGGTGGTCCAAACCCGGGGTGACCACAGTGTAATGCTGAATTGACAAAAGATCACTTCAGAGAGGCCCGGCTCCACGTTCCCCTGCCTTCTGAAGCGAGGTACAGGAGCAACTAGAGGCAGGGCCTTCCCTGTCAGACTCATGGCCAGTGTGGTTTAATGGTGGAGGTGGTTAGAGACTAGGCTCTGGGAGACCCAGGTGCAAATCTTTGCTTTCATAAACAGAAACTCAAAACATTGTGCAACTCCCCTCAGTAAAGGTTTCAGGGAGGGGCTAGGCCTCAGCTGGGTCAATGGTACATCTAGCTTTAATAAAAGGTAGGATTTTAAATTCTAAACCTTCAGTTCTGGCAAACATCTTGCAAAGCTTGCATAGGGACTTTAGTGAATGACAACCTGCTCGCAACCTGGTAGCGAAGCCAATCCTGCGCATGTTTGCTCATCAGTTTGGGACAGGTGCCCTGCCTCCGTGTAGGTCGCCAACGTGTGTGTCACATTGTGACTTTTGTTCCAGTGCCCACCTGGCCCCACTCCTCTGTCCTTCTCAACATTTATCAGGATTGCTGCTCCTAACAGGCAACACTCATCCGGATGCAAATGAAAGCAAAGGGTCAGACCACAGGTAGGGGGCCTAACAGAGCTTCATTGTTCTACCAACCTGCAGAGGAAGAGGATGAAAGGAGAAGGGAGAGCCATGTCTGCTGCCCTGAGCTCATGGAAGAAGGGCGGGATAAAAATGGGACAGAAAGGATGTTGGTGTTGGAAAGCCCAGGGGATGGTTCGGGTGCTGCTGAGAGAAGACCAAGCAGGAGACTGGAGAGGGGGCTTCTTGCTGCTTAAAGGTAAAGGTTTCCCTTGCTCTAGGGTTGCGGTGTTCATTTCCATTTCAAAGCCGAAGAGCCAGCGCTGTCCGAAGATGTTTCCGTGGTCATGTGGCCGGCATGACTAAACACCAAGGCGCACGGACCGCTGTTACCTTCCCACCGAAGTGGTACCTATTTATCTACTTGCAATTTCTTGCTTTCGAACTGCTAGGTTGGCAGGAGCTGGAACTAGAGACGGGAGCTCACTCCGTCATGCGGCACTCGGGTCTCGAACTGCTGAACCTTCCACAGCCTGCAGTTCCGTGCCTTAACCACTTGCTTACGTACCACAAAAGTTAGGGCTGTCACCTTAACTTAAACTTGTTTTGTGTTTTTTGAAAGCCCAAGTTAATGTGTAAGCACCCTGACTCTCCTCTTAAATCCATTTCCCCCCATCTCAATATTATTGTATTTTAATTGTTTAAATGTCGCAAGTGTCATTAAGGGTGGTTTGCCTGTTTCTCACGCTGCCTGACGCTGGCTTTCACATGGCAAGGGAAGGAGACCAGTCACTTTTGAGGGCTCCTGGGCTGCTGTTAGTGACCAGCCCACTGAAAACCTGCTGATAAACTCCGGGGTTCCCCGGATCAGAGAGCGAGGAACCAACCCAAGGCAGCCCTGGCAGTTCCCATTTTATATGCTGAAGTTGCATTCGGCAAGGGCAGGATTGCACTGTAGTTTAAAATGTGTTTCTTCGTAATTCCTCCCCCATTTATTCTTGGGGTGAAATCAGAAGTGGTCCTCAAGCACAGAGCTCCCCATCGTCCTCAAAGCTGGGGGGAGGGGAGGATGGCAACACTGAGGTACTGCACATGTACTGGAACCCAGGATCTTCCTACTCAGCTGGTACCTTCTCCCCTGGTCTGCTTGAGGTCTGTTCCCAGTCACACCCCTGGAAGAATCCTGTGCACCAAGCAGTGTAGGGAGAGGCCCGGGATCTCACAAGTCCAAACCCGATGGATCCTCTTCCCCTCTGAAACACTGCAACGTGGAAGGAGAAGAGTTTTCCCCTGGGCACTGGAGCACCTCTTTGACACTGAAATCAGCTTGGTGGAGAAGACCCGGCCTTGGAACAGACTAAAATGCTTCATGTGCCTTTTTTAACAGTGAGCCATGGTGCTAGACGTTCCAAAACATCTGACACTCTGGAATAAATTCCAGAACTGAAATGAGTGTCCAAGGAAGATCAGACTCCACAACCGAATATGGCCCCAGCCAAGTATTTCCAGAAAGTCTGTCCTGCCAGAATTGAGTCCTGGGGGAAATGGCTGCTCCCTCCCTCTGCGCCCCCCCCCCTATATTTTTGTACTTTGGATCCTCCACATACATGCACGCAGGTGTTTCTCGGGCTGCAACGTAACGACATCGCCCCTTCACACAGTAGTGCTGGTACTCCTCGGGACACTGAGTGAAATGCCTCCTTTGCCTCAGTCGGGCAGGAGCATCTAGAAACAGAACACGGGAAAACACGTTAGGTTCTTCCATAAAGGTGACCATGGGCACTCAAGCAACCAAAATGCCACCCAGGTGAGTTCTGCTGGCTCTATGCTGCTAGGTTGTAGTTCTGCTTTTCTTTTTTAAACACCTTGTCGTGTTTCTTAGAAGTTACTTTTGGACCCCAAATCCTCTCTGATGGTCAGGAAAGCCTTGGGAAGGCAGTGCACCAGAATACGGAACGCTGTAGAGAGGAGGAGGAGGAACTGAGGGGGGGAATGGCCTCCTCTGCTGACGCCAGCTGCTGGCAGAAGAGGGAGGAGTTCTATGGCGGAACCCTACTGCGTGGACAGGCTTGCCTTCTGCCTGTTTCTTGGCCCATTTCCTACCTCCCTGGCTTGCTGACTGCTCAGATCCGGTATGATCTGCACTGGCACATTCATGCGCTGCCTTTTGTGTATTCAGAGGCTACGCAAGTGTGCTCACGTAACATGGCTGCGAAGCTGGGTAGCCACTGGTTGGTCCGTCTGAAACCTCTCTACTTCCAGACTGATTTCACAAAACAGATCTTTACATGCCATTTGCACATCTTATGTCCAAGTTCTCGTTACTCATAGTAGACTCTAGAAAATAAGCCCTTTATCACACTCTCAGAATCTGTCCTTTCCATTAAAACTTTGGTTCTTTCATTTGAAATGATGGAAAATTTCTCACCAAAAGAGAAATTTTCTTCTAGCAGAGATGTCATTGTAAGAAACCGCCTTATTGCTACTTATTCGATCATTACAACAAGGAAGCCTAGATGTGAGAATTTCCTAATAACTGATATAGATTAAATTCTGTGCCCCTACAGACACAAATGCAGAGAAACATGGCAAAAGTTCAGTCCTAAACAAAGTCCATATCCTGAGTATCATTAATAATATAAATGTCTTCATAAAATGTTTTCTTATCTAGTCAGAGCCATGCAAATAAGAGCACTTTCAAAAACACTGGTTCTACCAGTTCAGCTCTCCATGCAAGTCTGTAAGCAGAGGAGTGATAAAGCTTCACACTTGGAGTCCCCCAGTCTCCATTCTAGCACTTGTCTTGTGCTGTGGTTAAATCCCTGGGGTTTTTCTTTCCCCACTTCTTTCTTCATTTACAATTTCTGCCATTGTTTCAGCATTTTATCTGACATAAAATTCTGTATATTACAGAACAAAACCTTAAATTTAGTGCAAGGTCAACAGCAGTGGAGGTGCAATTCATCGATCCCTCGTTTAAGTGCACGGGAAACAAACGGTACAAAAAAAAAGACTCACCCATAGTTGCGTCCAGTGTTCCCTCTAAGCTGAGTTAGTGTGCGCTAGCTCACAGTTTTTCAGCCTCCGGCTCACACATTTTTGTCTTGGCTCAGGAAGGAGGGCTCCAGAGCAAACTAACTTATGCAGCAGCCAAATCACCAGCTCACAACTTTAATGCCAGTAGCTCACTAAGCAGAATTTTTGCTCACAGGACTCCACAGCTTAGAGGGAGCATTGGTCAACAGTGTGATGGCATTAATCCCACCCAAAAGAAGATAGCCTTAAAACAGACCAAAATGTCAAATCACGTTTGGCTGTAACAAGACTTCCTCTGGGTATGAATACCCCTAGATACCCAATGGACTGATTATAAACTCTTAGGTTTCAGCTTTTCCTCTTAGAACTCTGAAAGAATTTCTGCTTTGCGGGGGGGGGGGGGAAGTGTGCAGGAAGACAGCATGTCACTCAAACTGTCACAGAACTGCCTTCTCACTCTGCCAGACCACTGTGACCACCCACACTTCTTTCATACAAATCCCAGCTTCCAGGATCTCACCCTTCGGAAAACCAATCTGACAGCAGATCCAGATAGCAGTTGCTTCCATCATATGGGAAGGCAGTAAACATTGAAACAGTGAAAGGTTGCCAACATGGCAACTTGCAATTAATTCTAGCTTTTCAAAAAAATGTAGTGACAGCGATGGAGAAAGCAAGAGAAAAAGCAGCAGCTTGTCAAGCCCAGGTTGCGCCCCAGGAGGTACACGTCCTTTTGTTGTTCCACCGGTCCATCAAGCCAGGGCTCCACAAGCCTCAGAACTGGGGGGGGGGGTGTGGCTCACCCTTGTCCTCCTCCTCCTTTGCCCCGAGGGACTCCATTCTCTGACTTTGAGCCCTCAGGGCTCCTTCCTCCCCGGCTTGCTGATTGGAGGGCCCTTTTAAGCTCTCCACTCCCCTGCCGGGACCCGCCCCTGGGGCCAGCATCTGCCCTTCAAGGAGGCATGTCTGTCAGTGGGTCTGGTCGGCCCTGGTCCCATCCCAAACCCCGCCTCCCCAGCCTACCATTGGCATTGGGTGTGCCCATCCCACCATCAGGGAAGATGGGCTGTCGGAGACCAAATCAGGGCGAGCTTCAGACTCTGCTCCCTGGAGGAAGCCACCTTGGACTGTCAGCCCCCAGCGTTGCTCTCCCCTCCTGAGTGCCTTCCAGCCCTGCTGACCTGAGCCAGCCCTCCCAGAGTGTCTCCCTGTAGCAAGAGCTGGGAGCGGGGCCAATTGCCTCCCATAGGCTTGCACTGCCTGCGTTTTTGGGTCTCTCCTCCCTGGGCTCCAGCCTTTTCTTGCCTTGGTCCAGCATGGATGGCCTTGCCCAAGATAAGACTGGGCAGCTGGGCTCTGGGGGGGCTGTAGGTCTTCCTGGCTTGGCAGTGCCAAGGCGGGCCTGCAAGGGGGGCAGCAGCTCCAGAGATGGCTTTGCCACTGAGGATGAGCAGTTGTGAGGTTCCGAGGGTGGCTTTGAGCCCAGCCCCAGACACCAGTGTCCCCCCCTAGAGATAATATTGTGAAAGCAGGCGGTGGACATTGTATAGGATTCTGCCCCCCAAGCCTGTCCAGGAATGAGAGGGAATCCTATACTTAATACATTAACAACAACCCAGAGAGGTAGGCTACCCTCTCTGGATTTCAGAACAATAAGCCACCAGAATCTCTCAGTATTCTATAATCCCCTCCAGCTCAGAGCAGAGATTCAGATCTCTCAGCTGGCATCTAGGGCTTAACACATTAGCACCTCATTCCCAGAGATGTACACTTAATGCTCAATGGTAGCGTGTGGCCAGGTAGGCACAGGAAATAGACTTGGAATCCCAGTTACAACATCAGAGACCAGGTAGAAACAAGACTAAGTTTTTATTCCGTTCAGATCTTAGCACAGACTAAGAGATTACAAAATAAGAAACCTAAGGCAGTTTGCCTTAACTAAACATAATGCTTCATATTTACCATGACAGGAACATTGATCAATCCAGGACAGTCCATTGTGATAATCCAGTAGCACCAAGGGATTTTTAAGAGGAAGCCCATCATTATTCCATGTGCTCAAGTCACAAAGCAGTCCTTTGTCTCTTCCAGAGGTCCAGGTGCAATAAACAGGCAACAACAGGAGACCAAGAAAGCAAAAGCCGAACAGAACAAGGGACAGAGAGAGTCTCTCTCATTGGGTCTGAACAGATATAGCCCAATTTCAGTCTCAATCAGCTGTGGCCATCAGCCGCTTGGAGTGGACATAGGTGTGTCCAATTTGTTAGTTGTCATGGGTACAACTGGGGATAGGCTGGAAGTTTGGAAACCACGCCTGCAGTCACATGGCCCCCAACTCCAGCTTCTCCATCAGCTACGTGAGCTTCTGGCATGCTGGCCTAGCTTCCATCATGGAAGTGTGAAGAATGTGTATGGCAGGGCTATAAAGTTTCAATACAGAGCGTTTACCCTGGCCAGGTGTAATGCTATGCCTTCTGCCATTTTATATGGCAGATTTAACAAGGTTTCGCATTCGGCCAGATACTGCCCCTGCAGAAAGAGATGCGTGGAATCTATTTCACATGTTCTCCTGCATTGTAATCTGTATGTGGACTTAAGGAATATTTATCTATATTCTATCCTAACCAGTATGGCGGATTGCTCTGATGCCCTCAAGGTCCACAGACTTTTAAAAGATCTCGGTCCTGACACCACTGAGAAGGTGGCTAAGTTTCTCTGTTTGGCTTTAAAGCTGTGCCAAAGGTTCCTAGAGATATAACATCCTTATCAGCTCCTAATTGCACAATATCGAGTCATAGATTTTTATAGGTGTTTTAACTGTTTCCTAAAATTGTATAACTTGTACTGTTATTTTATGCCAATAAAGGCTAACTTGAACTTGAACTATATATAAATGATCTGATGAAAAGCCTTGAAATGGTTGACACACATCCCCCTACTTTGGCAAATTGTTGTATCGCAGCCTTACTGTATGCAGATGACATGGCCCTTTTATCTAGAACACCAGTAGGCCTTAAAAGGGCATTAAAACAGCTTGGTACCTATCGTGATTCCAACTTATTAGAAATCAACTACCAGAAGACCATAGTGATGTCCTTTCAAAAGAGGCCCAAATTAGGGACGTGGAGCATAAAGGGCCATAGCCGAGAGCAGGTTTCAGCCTTCAAATATCTAGGGGTCATGTTTCAATCTACAGGGTCAAGAAATAACCATCATGAATTTTTGACAAATATGGGACGGAAGACCGCAAATAGTATCATCAAATTCATTTCAACAAAAGGGGGTCATTTTATACCAGTTGGGCTTAAACTATACTCAGCTAAAACAATACCACAGTTGCTATACGGCATTATGCTGGGCCCACCCTCCTCAAGTTTTGCACCCCTGGAAAAGACACAGTCTAAATTCTTAAGATCTATTTTTTGTTTCTCAACTAGTGCTTCCAACGCCAGTTTACGACTATTTTATTTATTTATTCTTTAGATTTGTATCCCGCCCTCCCTGAAGGCTCAGGGCGGCTAACAAGGGTATAAATGCCAGATTAAAACAGTAAGAACAGTATAAAAATACAATAATACAACATAATACAGTTATTAAAAATATTGGTGCTCCAATACTCACTCCGAATCATAAAACCAAGATGGTGTTCTGAAGACGTTATAACAGAACAACAGCAGTATATGTCCGTACAACCTTGTCATCCGCCAGGGACGTCTCACACCCCCGATGATACCCGCACCAGCGGTGGTAGAGATGGAAAAAACGTTGGTGGAATAATGGTGGCGGCGGCTCCTACTCAAAAGCCTGGCGAAAGAGCTCCATTTTGCAGGCCCTGCGAAACTGCACAAGGTCCCTCAGGGCCCGGATCTCTTCTGGGAGCTCATTCCAGCAGGTAGGAGCCGCCACCGAGAATGCCCTGGCCCGGGTCACAGCAAGTTTGATGGTCCTGGGGCCTGGGATATCCAGGAGGTTTTGGCTCCCCGACCGTAGGGCCCTTGGGGGAACATGCGGGGAAAGACGGTCCCTTAGGTAGGCCGGACCCTGGCCATATAGGGCTTTAAAGGTAAGAACCAGCACTTTAAAGCGAATCCAGTACGTCACTGGCAGCCAGTGCAGCGCTTTCAGCACAGGCCGGATGTGATCCCGTCTAGGGATACCCATCAGCAGCCTGGCTGCAGCATTCTGCACTAGTTGCAGCTTCCAAATTTGCGACAGAGGCAGCCCCATGTAGAGAGCGTTACAGTAGTCTAGCCTTGAGGTGACCATCACATGGATCACTGTGGCCAGGTCATCATGGTCGAGGAAGGGGACCAGCCACCATGCCAGCCGAAGATGGTAGAAGGTCGACTTGGCAGTGGCTGCTACCTGGGCCTCCATCGTTAAGGAGGAGTCCAGGAGCACACCCAAACTCCTAACCTCTGATGCCGGCACCAAAGGCGCCCATCGAAGGTCGAGAGAGGGAGCCCCAACCCTGGACGGATCTGACTCAGCCCCAGGACCTCCGTCTTTGCCGGGTTTTGTTTCAGCCGACTCAGTCTGAGCCAACCAGCCACAGCCTGTAATGCCCGGTGAAGGTCATCTGGGGTGGAGTCCGACCAGCGGCCCAGCATCAGATAAAGCTGGGTGTCATCTGCATATTGATGACACCCAAGCCCACAACTCCGGGCAATCTGGGCAAGGGTGCACATGTAGAAGTTAAACAACATCGGGGATAGCACCACCCCCTGAGGTACCCAAATTTGAGAGGCCACCTCCGCGACCGCTGAGCCCCTATCACCACCCTTTGTCCCTGACCTTGGAGAAAAGAGGCCAACCATTGAAGGGCAAGCCCCTGAATCCCCACGTCAGTGAGGCAGTGGGATAGCAACTGGTGGTCGGCCATATCGAACGTGGCCGACAGATCTAACAACAACAGTGCCACCACACCACCACGATCCAGATGCCTACAGAGGTCATCAGTCAGAGCAACCAATACCATCTGCGTTCCATGACCAGGGTGAAAGCTGGACTGGAAGGGATCAAGGACATAAGCGTCATCCAGAAAGCCCTGTAGCTGTATCGCCACCGCTCTCTCAATAAGTTTGCCCAAGTAGGGCAAATTGGACACCGGCCGATAGTTGGCCAATTCGGCCGGGTCCAAAGATGGTTTTTTCAAGAGAGGGCGGACCATCGCTTCCTTGAGTGCCCCGGGGAACCATCCCTCCGAGAGAGACTTGTTGACAATCTCCCACAGGGCACCTCGAAACCCCTCGTGACCCATTTTAATGAGACAAGAGGGGCATGGGTCAAGATCGCATGTGGTTGGGCACACAGATACAAGCAATCTGTCAACTTCTTCCAGGCTGAGTGGGCCAAAACTCACTAAACCCGACTCCAAAGGCGTGCAAGGGGCCTCAAGTTCGCACACTGTATCAATTGTGGCGGGGAGGTCACGGCAGAGCGCCAAGACTTTCTCTAGAAACTGGGCTGATCAGATTGGAGGCCAGATTGGAGATAACTTTAGCCTCCATAAATGCTTGGCTAAGGTTATGCCACAGACCATCTGATATCACTGCTCTAATTCTCACAGACAGCTGTTGCTCTAATTGGCTTAGTGCTGTATACCATAAGATACATCTGCTTGGTTTCTCTTCTGAGTCGCTACAGATAATGCCACTAGAGCAAGCTAGAGCTATTGTTAAACAAAGAATATATGACACCGAAAGGCAAAGTGATATTGCTAAAGTGTCGACTTTTTTGGCCCCAAAGGAAACAAAAGATATAGTTGCTCCCGCAGTGTATTTACCACTATTAGAGATTCCCTCTCACCGCAGGGCATACTCCCTGGCACGATGTAACATCTATCCTTCGGCGGTGTTAGAAGGCCGGTATAAAGCCTTCTTTATAAAGGTGCCTTTGTCTGAGTGACTATGCCCGTGCGGTTCAGGGAAAGTTGAAACAATTAAACATATTTTACTCCACTGTACATTTTATGAAACCACCAGAGTAAAAATTATTCATCCTGTTATAAGGAGGAACCACGGATACTTGGACAAGGAGATAAGTAGGAAGCTATTATTTGATCCTGCTCCACAGATCATAATAAATTGTGCTAAATTTCTAGCAATAGCCCAAAAAATACGTGCTGCACATGTAGTACAATTTTAGAAAGAATCCAGAAGATTTAGACGATGGGGATAGAATTGTATAACCCCTATAATACTTACTCAACAGTTGAATAACAGTTGATAGAGTATTGTAGAAATTTAGAGTTTTAGTCAGGGGTCGTTTCGTAGAAAAAGAGCTAGGGGAACTCATTAGCATAACTCATTAGCATATGCCACACCCCCTGACATCTCCGGAAGTGTGTCATAAGGCCACACCCCCTGACATCACCGGAAGTGTGTCATAAGGCCACACACCCCGCACCCAATGGTCCCGGCCACCGCCGCCGGCCTTGCAGCTTCACTGCCGAGCCCTATGAGGGGCCCGGCGGTGGACCTGCAAGGCCGGCGGGAGTGCAAGGAAGCCCCGCGAAGGCCCTCCCTGGCCCCAGGCAGGCAGGGGTGGGGAGAGGCAGGGAGGAAGCAACTTACCCTCCCTCTTCTCCTGCCTCCTCCTGGCTGAATGAGGGCCGGAAGCGGGGCGGCCGGAAGCAGGGGGCGGGGCTTCGTCATGTGCCCCGCCCCCCGTACCTCACCCGGGGGAGCTGCGTTCCCCCGCGTTCCCCCCCGAAATGACCTCTGGTTTTAGTAATGTTGTAAGTAACATACGCAGATTAAACGCAGTTTTATATTTAAATATCTTATATATATTATTGGTACCCTTTTTGTATTGTCTGTAATTGGGCTGGTGATATACCGAATAAACTGAACTGAACATTACTGAAGAACAGTTCTCTCCCAGAGCTCAAAACAGTCTGTGTGACCTTTAATGGTGTGGTTCATACATTACCTGGGCAGTTTCCATTCGAGATGCTGCAGAAGAACCCCTTTGGCTTCATATTCAGTGGTCATATTCCTATCAGCAGCCGTGCAGATAAAAATTGGAAGGCCTTCAATTGTAGAATGGGGAAGGGGACAGAGAGAAAGCATTACACCAATATATTTTTAAGAACCTGCTTACTCATATCACAACAATGTTCTCTCTGCAAAGATTTTTATTCTGGAAATAAGGACAGCTTTCCTTTGCCTTTTAAAATGTGCCCTATCTTTCTTCATCCAATGTCCAACTGCAGTTAATTCACTGCTAAAATGAAAGGGAAATTCCATGCCTGAAGAATAAATAAATATTGGCTAAAGAAACTAACTTCAGAAACCAGGTACAGTAACAGGGTAAGCTGAAGCAGCATTATAGCCTTCTAAGTCCATTGAAGACAGCGGACTTAAAAGGGTATAACTCTGCTTAGGATGATGAAGGGAGTTTTGACCCTCGGAAGCTTAGCCCCTAAACATCTGGTTGGCCTCAAAGGCACTGCCCAACTCCGATCTGGCCGTTTTGCTTAGAACAGCACTGCAAATGCACCACTTTGGGATTGGAAAAGGAGCTGTTGTTTCACTACTATGTTGGGGGAAAGTTCATCAACCACGTATCAGAAGTGGAGAAACTGTTTGCAGATTCCTCTATGACATCACTGACATGACTGCTGATAATTACACTAACTAGAAAACCTATAAACCTTTTCTGTTAGTGACAAAATAAAGGATTTTCTAGGAAGAATACAGAGATGCCCTTGTTTGCAAGAATACAGACATGCCCACAGGCAACATAAAAATCTTGAAAAATCACCTAGAATTACAACACACACACACACACATAGTATTTCTTCGGTATTACTTTTTCATTTGAGTTGTTTACCATACTTTATGAGGATCTTTCTGGTTTCACAGCAAAGGATCCTACCGCTCTGTTCAGATTACAGCCGACAGTGAGCAGGGGCCTGTGGTGGAAGGGCTGGCTGAAGGACGGGAAGTGTCCTGTGACCAAGGAGGAGCGAGGGAGCGTGACAGGCTTATTTTAGAACAGTCACAGCAGTGTTTTCCCAAGCAGAGTTAATACCCATTGACGTTGTTGCACTTAGAAGGGTGCAATGAAAGGAATGACAGGATTGCCTACTGGAAACAATGGGAGTGGTTTAAAGGCCCATGAGAGATCATGGAAGCCAGGAATGCCAGTTGACTTGCATGGGCTCCACTGAAATACATTACAGCGCAAAAAGACTTGCAATGAAAATGCAGAATGGATTTTTAATGAAGGTTTTCGGGACTGGAATGATAGGTCACAGAGTAGAATGACAGTCCCTGGGAATGGCATCAGTGCTCTGGGACTGGACTGACGGCCTCCACCAGTGGACTGACAGTCTCTAGGAATAGAATCAGTTTTCTGGGACTGGATTGACAGCCCCTAGGAGTAGCAGAAGTGCTCTGGGACTGGAACAACCCCCCCCCCCAATGACAGTACCTAGGAATAGCATCAATACTCTGGAACTGGAATGACAGCCCCCCAGTGGAATGACAGTTCCTAGGAATAGAATCGGTGCTCTGGGACTGGAATGACAGCCCCCCCCCCCCCGGGGGATGTTGCTCCACCTAAGAATGCTCCTGGAGGGGAATGACAGCCCCCACTTCAGTGAAATGACGGCCCTTAGGAGTAGAAGTAGTGTCCTGGGACTGAAAAGCAGGTCCCATAGTGGAATGATGGTTCCCTAGGAATAAATTCAGTGTTCTGGGACCAGAATGACAGCCACCGCTCCCCCAGTGGAATAACATCCCCTGAGAGTAGCAGAAGTGTCCTGGGACTGGAACGACAGCTCCTTCCCCTCAATGAAATGATGGCCCCAGGGAGTTGCATAAATGTTCTTGTGCTGGAATGGCAGTCCCTAGGAATAGAATCAATGCTCTGGGACTGGAATGACAGTCCCTAGGAATAAAATCAGTGTACTTGGAATGGAAGGACAGCCCTGGTAGTGGAATGATGGCCCCTGGGAGTGGAAGTGTTCTGTGACTAGAATGAGACACCTCCCCCCCCTGTGAAATGATGGCTCCTGGGAGTAACAGGAATGTTCTGGGACTGGAATAATGGTCCCTAGGAATAGAATCAGCGGTCCAGGACAGGAATGGCATCCCTCCCAGTGAAACTACAGCCCCTGGGTATAGCAGAAGTGTTTTTGGACTGGTATATGGAAATTCACTTTAGTCCCCACGGCTAGCAGCCATTGATGGAGGCCTCCTCCATGTATCCATTTAACCCTCTTCTAAAGCTGTCTATGTTTGTGGCCATCACTACATACAATGACAGCAAATTCTGAAATTTAATTAGTCGTTGAGTATTTTCTTTTGTCTGTTCTACAAATGCCATAATTTAATTACTTGAGTACGGAAGGATTTCCTTTAGTATTACAGAACAGGGATAAAAGGCTCTCTGTATCCACTTTCTCTACCTCAAGACATTTTTTATAAACCTGCCATAATCCCCCCTTAAGCCATCTTTTTTTCTAGACCGAAAACACCCTTTCTTCACAGGAAAGATGCTCGAACTCTAATCCTTGCGCTTGCCCTCTTCTGTACTTTCTCCAACTCTGAAATACTTTTTTGAGATACTATGACCAACAGTCTTAACAAGGTCATGAGTTCAGTTCAAAGATTATGCATTTGCATTAATTCCAGATTCCACTTTAAGCCAGTTTGTTTTTAAAAGATACTTCTTGTGGAAAACATAATTCCCTCCAGTCTAAATAATTTTTTAAAAAATCTTATATTCTTTCAAAAAATTTACTCTTATTCACCCTATTTTGTAAAAGAGGCATAGGCTGATGCTAATTATAGATAGGGTATTGATCATAAAATTCTTACTAAAATATTAATGAAGTGTTTAAATTTACTTCTTTGGAGGGTTGTGTGGAACTGGAATACATATTACAATAAGATAACCAATCAAGAAATACTGAACCAAGAAAAGGAAGGTTAAGCAGCAAGATCTAAAGACACAAGAGGCCTCATGTTTGTGAGGCCTCAAAAGATGAAAGTCATGTGTCTTGTGCCAAATGCACAGTTGTTGAATTAAAACATCTTCCAATTTCGGTCCAAAAAGCACCTGTGTGCTATCTAAGTCAGACCTAGAGTGTCCTCAAGTTACGTGTACCTCAATATTGTTTGACCTCTGAAGAAGGCCCCAATAGGGCTGAAACACGTCAGGTCATGTGTATTGGCCCCTGTGTTTAGGCAACCTTTACCTATTTACGAGGCTTTCATTGGGTCCTTATATGTTTTTAACTGTCTTTCTAATAAATACATGTATTTTTGTAAAAGTTTCAGCTAGGTGTTTAATATTGTCCCTTTATTTGACTTCTTTCTTACCCTAGTGGTTCTTGATTCCAGCTTTTGGGTCAGGTTTGTTTTCCCCTCCCTGTGTCTTACTTCTACCCTCAAATAGCCAGGAATTTCCCAACCTGGAGTTGACAGCCCTAAGTCTCTGCCTATAGTGAAGTCAAGGAAGACTATCTGATTTTTTCCTGCCCTTCTGCCGTGAAGTTCAGGGCAGTATAAATGCCCCCTCTTTTCTATCTTTACAATTGTTCTGTGACACAGGTTAGGTAGGGAGAGAATGACCCAAAGGCACCTAGTGAGTTTAATGGTAGAATCTGAACCCAGGACTTCAAGCTTGCGATCCAACATTCTAAGCAATGTACTACTGTAAATCAGTGATGGGCTCTTTGCAGCTCCTTGTCTGGGTCAATGCAATGGAAGTATCCAATTTGCTATGAACCTGCAAAATATTTCATTGGTAATATTCTAAGCCTACCGTGCGATCTCCATTGGGGAGTTTTAACTAGGACAGAAATAGGACGTTCCCATGCTGCATTATTTTAGTGAGTATGGGGAAAGTAGCAGAGGTCATTTCGGGGGGGATCGCAGGGGATCGCAGTTCCCCCGGGTAAGGTACGGGGGCGGGGCACATGACAAAGCCCCGCCCCCTGCTTCCGGCCGCCCCGCTTCCGGCCCTCATTCAGCCAGGAGGAGGCAGGAGAAGAGGGAGGGTAAGTTGCTTCCTCCCTGCCTCACCCCACCCCTGCCTGCCTGGGGCCAGGGAGGGCCTTCGCAGGGCTTCCTTGCACTCCCGCCGGCTTTGCAGGTCCACCGCTGGGCCCCTCATGGGGCTCGGCAGTGGAGCTGCAAGGCTGGCAGCGGTGACCGGGATCGTTGGGGGCGGGGTGTGTAGCCTCATGACACACGTCCGGTGATGTCAGGGGGTGTGGCATATGCTAATGAGTTATGCTAATGAGTTCCCCTAGCTCTTTTTCTACGAAACGACCCCTGATGCTTAGTATGAGCTAGGACTGAGTCCCAGAACATATTTTCACTTGCAAAGGCCAAGTGAATGAAGACCAAAATACATCTGAAGTGATGCAAAGCGCAGGTCCCTCATATGTGAAGAACCCAGGCTTGCTCCCATATGTCTCACATGAAGGCTTCCAGATTTGAAGTACAGCAGCTATCTTTTAAAAGAAATTATTGGCTTTAACAAAGAACTGGGAATCGGAATACCCCCCAACACAAACACAAAGGGGACCCCCCCCATCCCTGTTTGGCAGAGGGATTTGTTTACTGCTAGATGGGAGGTTTTTCAAAAACTTTTTTCACTTATCTGAAGTAGAACTATGTAGGTTAAGCACCAGCTGTAGTAATCTGAATGCTTCATGTTAAACGTTACACAAAAGACTTGGGTGTCTCATAAAACATCTGAGAGAGGTTCACATTATAGTGATGGGAAATCCAAAGAGGAAGAGAGCAAAAAGGCCCAAGGCAAGGCGTGGTGCTGGGGTGGGGGGGAGAAGCCCTCTGGCCCTTTAAGAGGATGTATGTTTTATGCCCCAGGCTGTGGCGGGTTGGCTTAGACTGAGTCGACTGAGGCTGAATCCAGCGAAGACAGAGGTCCTGTGCTTGAGTCGGGGCGGTGCGGGGGCGGGGATCCCACTTACGACCTTTGGGGGGGGGCTCCATTGGTGCCAGCGCCGGAGGTGCGGAGTTTGGGTGTCCTCCTGGATCCCTCCCTTACTATGGAGGCCCAGGTGGCGGCCACTGCCAAGTTGGCCTTTTACCATCTCAGGCTGATCAGGCAGTTGGTTCCCTTCCTCGACCGCGCTGACCTAGCAACAGTGATCCATGCGATGGTCACCTCGAGACTAGACTACTGTAACGCTCTCTAAATGGGGCTGCCCTTGTCATGGATCCGGAAGCTGCAGCTGGTGCAGAATGCCGTGGCCAGGCTGTTGATGGGCCTCCCTAGACGAGAGCACATCCAGCCTGCGCTGAGGACACTGCACTGGCTGCCAATAGCATACCGAATCCGCTTCAAGGTGCTGGTTCTTACCTTTAAAGCCCTATATGGCCGAGGTCCGACATACCTAAGGGACCGCCTTTCCCCGTATATACCCCAGAGAGCACTACAGTCGGGATCTCAAAATCGGTTGATCCTCCCTGGCCCGAGGGAGGCCAAGTTAGCTATCACCAGGGCCGGAGCCTTCTCAGTGGCGGCCCCTACCTGGTGGAACGAGCTCCCAGAGGAGATCAGGGCCCTGCGGGACCTCTTGCAGTTCCGCAGGGCCTGCAAGACGGAGCTCTTCCACCAGGCATTTAGTTAGGGGCCGCCACTACTGCAGGCTACTGCAGGCTCCTACTGCAGGCCGCTATAGCAGAGCCTGGCCTGTGGTCTTAACATCTAACTGACTAAGAGCAGAAACCATCGCGGAACATCTGGGCAGTGGAAATTTATTCCTGTAATATACCATCTAGATTAATTTAATCTGCCGCTAGCACTTTGTATTTATAATGTTTTATTGTATGATTAAATATTGTGTATTTTAATGTATTTATGCTTTTATGGAAGCCGCCCTGAGCCCACTCGCGGGGAGGGCGGGGTATAAGTTTGATAAATAAATAAATACAAATAAAGTAAAGGTGCCAAGCGAAGAAGG